CGACGTCGGCAGCGATAGGGACGCGTGTACCCGGTTGCGCAACGATGCCTGTGTCCCAGTCGACCAGAACAAGATGGCCTTGGTAGTGAAGGACGTTGCCGAGGGACAAATCACGATGGTGGATGCCGAGATCCCAGAGCGCGGGCAGAAGCGTGAGGAGCTGGTCAAAGACCTCGCAGGCCTGGGAGAGTTTGTGCTGAGGACCGCGGCCAGTGTCGACGCGGATCGGTAGCGGCGTAGGATTGCGCACGAATCAGCAAGTCGAGTGTACTCCGACACGACTCTCGCAGGCGTCGTTCAGGATCGACCGGGTCCATGAGTACGGGCAAGGCGCTGTCGTCCATTTGTGATCGATGTAGACCGAGCGACGTGGCCTTCTCGGGTAACGGGACGTGTCGTTCGATGAGCAGCGACGAAGCCGAGGGGCGTGGGAAGTGCGACACTGGACGATCTTGTCCAGGACATCGGCTTCGCAGCCTTTAGACTTCTGATTGATGTGCTGGATCTTGAGCACGAACGACGGCGACAGACCTGACGTCGACAATGACCCTTGCACCAAGCTGGGACGCGTCAGCTCGAAGATGACCGTGCAGCGTCCAAAGATGGAGCTGCCCCCTGCGACTCGACAGTCGACGAGCTTGACAGGCTCCTCGGCGACGAACTCGACGGTGCGACCGACCAGGGGAGCATCTGCTTCAAGCTCGGATGGTCGAAGGTATAGTGTACGGAAAGCGACGGGAGCGATGCCGGTCTTGGGGTGATGCGCGTAGCGAAACAGAGGGACAGTCCGGCCGAGTAGACCTCCAGTCCAAGCAGGACGGAGAGCACCGAAGCGAGCTCGCCGAAGCCCTCGCCCCAGCAATCGGGAATGATCGCAATACGGCACCCCTCGTGGTCCAAAACGACGAAGTAAGCTGTGTCGTCACGAATAGCCAAGCCTGGTGCATACATGCGGGCCGGCTGCGTGAGCGCATCTCGTGCAGGTCGAGTACGACATTGATGAGAGGGGAACGGTCAGAGTCGAAAGGTCGCTTGGCGGACGGACACCGAAAGCCAATGGGACGAGCATGCTATGCGTGCCAGTTCCATTGTTCCCCGACCCGAGCTCGTCGCAGCACGTTAAAAAGTGATGTCGTTCCACATGTTGGAGGCGGCAGGCGCCGCCTCCGAGGTCAACCGAGCCTGCCGTTCGGCGTGTGCGACCTTCAAGTTGTTCTGCCGATGGGATCCACCGGATGCCTGTGCCGACGATGCGAGTTGCAAAGCGAGGGATGTGATCATAGTCGTGACATATGGCCTTCGACAAAGTCGTCATTCAGGATATGGCACTCACAAAGTCAGCGAGTGGTAAGACCCAATCTGCCACCCGTTGATCCGGCGAGCGTCGGCAATCCTTGTCGAACAGGACTTGTACTTCTGATCGTCCGGGTCGCGCAAGAGCATCCTGCGCCTGGCGTTTGAATTGTGTTGCGTCGAACCCAAGTGCCGAGTGCACCAAGTCAGACGCGCTACAGATCACTACTCGCGGAACAATCTCGTCTTCGATGAAGCAGAGATCGACATCCTCGTCGAGCTCGGGCAACGTAAGCCTTTCGACCGTGGCATAGTAGGCCTGAGTACGAGATGGCATCGCCCCACTTGGCGACGAGAGAGGATGAGAGCGCTGCGAACTGTCCGATGAATCCGGGCACGAGTCTGACGGCGCGGGTGAAGGAGGGGTCCATGACGTTGGCTTCACAGGCAAGTGGCCTGTGGCGGGTCAGAAGTGGCGCGTGGACCGACGAGCCACCCATCAGCAGGTCAGCAACTCACACCGGGTCTGGCAGCAGAGCATTTACATACAAGCGGTTTTTGCTTGGCCGCATGTTCGTTGAATGGGAATGCGTTTAGTGGATGTGCCGCGACGCTCAAGGGTAGGAAGCGCGCCCGCACGACCGGGCAGCGCTCGGCAGGCGCCCCGCGCGCGCGCCGGCAGCGCCGCCCCCTGCCCGCGCCCGCCCCCGGGCAGCGCGGATAGTGCCCGCGCGACCCTGATCCTATCCCGGATAGTACGCTGGGGCAGGCGAGCGGGCAGCGCCACTCGAGGCCCAGGCAGCGGATAGTCAGACCGTTCGCGCCACGCCCACCGTTCCTCTGCGCCCCGGGCTCCTTCCTTTCCTGCCTATCCTTATCACTCCCTATACCTCTCTACCTTTGTTTTAATTTTTATTCGTCTTCCTTTCCTATCACTTCCTATTTCCTATTACTTTTTTATATTATGCTGAAATAAATAATATCTTTCCCCCACCGTCCCCCCCCACCGTCCCCCCTCCAGCCGGCCCAGCCGCCCAGCTTGACGGTCTTCCTTTACTATCACTATCACTTCCTATACCTTGGCTTTTTTATTCTAATAAAATATCTCATCGTTTTAGATTTATCTGGTGTGTACCTGGCGGACGGACTACACGTGCTTTTCTTTTCCTTTTTAGAGAGCTCGTCCGAGTCTTTTCAACCCCTCCGCCCCGCGGCGCGGCCTCGTCGACGGGGACCGTGCGCGCGCAAGGACAGGGCTGAGCTTGTTTCCTGAGCGAACCTGGCTGCTTCATGCTTCGGCTACGGGATTTCGGCGCATCTGAGACACGGTGATTCAGATTTGATTCAGTTTTGAAATAAGACTAGGTGGATAACGGATAATCTCAAATGTAAAAGTCCTTCAAAAAGTTGTAGGATTTCTAGGCCACGGAGGCCCGGAAAACACGGAGTCAGCGGCTCCTGGGACTGGTAGGAAAAGGGAACAAGGGAGCGCGGCCGAGGGATCGCCGTTCTCACGTGCCGTCCTCGAAACGCAACTTCAACTCCGCTCTCCGCTCTCATCGTCTCAATGTTTGTCAATCCTATCATTTCTCTTACCGTAAGGTAAGTGTACACCTGTCCTATGCTATGCTTGCTACGTGAGGTCCCCGACAGTCTCAGGAGCCTTAGGACGTCGTGCAATCGATCAGGTCCGATCGCGAGACTCGACTCGACTCGTTCGACCCGACAAAATCCGTTCCCATACTACTGTGGAGAGCGAAAAGCAGCCCGAGATCGCGATCGCATCGAATGAACGCATGAAATAGCAGGTACGTTGAGGATTTTCGACGTTTGGATACATTTGATCACGTCGAGCCAGGTAGCCTGCTAGTGTGATTTTATTCAGACTCGGTCTGCCGTGATCAAAGCGCCGGAGCGAGAATTCCTCTCGAGATATGCGATGGGAAATGCAGATGGAGTAGTCTATGGAATGGAGTAGAATACGGGTTTTTGTTCGTAACGAGGGCTAGTATCTAGGGTACTCCTCAGGAATCAGTGTATTATATGCACCTCCTCAATTTGATACTCGCTCAATTTCGTTCCGGCCAAAATAAAATGAGGTGCCGAATCAGCTCGCGGAGATCGCGAGGTTTTGTAAGGCCGGCTTGATTTTGACTTACTTGAGCAAGCAAAGATTTTTACGAAATGAAAGTGACTGAAAATGCATTCGCAAGGAAGGCTAAAGAAGATAAATTAAAGGGCCGAAGTGGTCGCCTCTGCAGTGGAACCGGAAGCCACCAAGTGAAGCTGCGGGGAACGAAGCGAACGGGGGGAGGACAGAACCGATCACGAGTCGGCCACAGACAAAAGGGTTCGCACATGTAATAAACAAAAGCGATGGACGGAATGCGACAGAGTGCAGCCAGCTGTAGAGGGTACAGATGAAGAGAGACAGAGAGGGTTCAGAAAAACAGAAACAACGGAGCCGGGGCGAGATGAGGTCGAACAGATGAACAGATCGGCGAGGGGCCGATGCCCCCGACGGAAGCGAACCAAGTGCCAGCCTCGATGCATGTTGTGGGGTAAATATGCCCACCTCGACCATACACTATTGGTACTGGACTCGGACCGCCAATTTGAGAGCATCGTAGTTGTTGAGTTGCGCTCCATTGACTTCGCGCGTGTCCTTCTTCTGCATGTGCTCGTAGAACTTTCCGGTACCTTGCGAAGTCCGCGGGGGCAAGCGCCGTCTTGATGCTTGCCACAACGAGCTCACTTCGTTGCTGTAAGGTACCATGTCGAGATGGAACTCCTTCCACGGCCTCGTTGATGAACTTCAGGACCCTGTTTATGCGAGTCCATTCGACACCGGGTGCGGTTTGACCTGGCGCACCGCGCCAGCGAGTTCCGAAGCGGCGCTCCATTTCGCGCCAAGGCATCGACGGGTTTCGCCGATCCCCATCCTTTGCCACACCCGTTTCGTAAAGGAGATACACATCCTCCACATTTGTAGCAGGATTGAACTTAACGACGGGAAGCCATCCGGGGGGTGTGATGGTGGTGCTCCATTCTACGAGCGTGCCAGGGAACCGGGCAAGATCATCGAGGCCCAGCGCTTCGAGTCGCGGATCGACATACATAGGGTTTCTCTCCTTGACACGTCGGTATTCGGCGAGCAGGTGGCCAACATCCTCCAACTGGTCGCCTGCTGGAGGTCGCAAGAGTGCGTCCATGGTCGCATGATGAGACGGTAATCGGTACGCCAGCGATTGGCCCACGCGCATGCGATCCGATCGATTGCCCGCGGCGGCTGGTGGGACAGCTGCGCGCATGGCCGTATGAGAGATCGCTGGTTGGGTTGGCGAGGTTCGGAAACTCGTCGATCGGGAAGGCGGGGTTCGGAAACTGACAGATCGGGACGGCGAGGCGGGGAATGGGCCCCGGGTGCCGGTACTCCTCGAGACGATGAGGCGAAGCTAAGGCTGGGCTTGACGAAGGCGATTGCGGTGGGTGCGGCCTCGACTAGATCTCGATATCCTAATACAAGGGTAATACAAAGGAGAGGCAAGTAAGCATTGGGTAGGAACACCAGTTGATGCACGCAGAAGGTAGCAGATACGTACTTGTAGGCGCGGACATGTGCGCATCCGACAAATCACGACGATCGTCGTCGGAATTGTCATCGTCGTCATCGAAGTCGCGGACAAATTCGTGTCGTCGTCGCTTCCTTACATGACGTGAAAGTGACCGCCTCGATTATGCTGTTCGATGAGAAGTTCCAAGATTCGACGATTATCGCTGCGAAGGTGAGCAGTTGCAGACTGGCGCTCCGAGGATTGCTGGGCGCCAAGCCTGTCGACGATGGAATCAAGGAGGCCGCCGTACACCACTTTTGAGGCGGCTTCTTCACGGCCATTCCCCTCCACACTGGCCACAAATGCGGAGCCCACGTTCGAAATCGGTCCGACTGAAACAGGCTCGCTTGGAAATCGGTGCATCTGGAAAGGCTTGAATCAAAAACGCCGCATCTTGAAGGATGACGAGTCTGAACCATTGGAGCAGCTTCAAGTGACAACCAACGCCTTGTCTTGACAGAGCTCATCGGCCTCAAAGCGCTCCTCGAATTCGGCCAAGCGGCTTCGACCCATGGGAAGATAAGTCGTTGAAGATCGTCAGGCACATCTGGGAAAGCGACGAGACGGAGAGGTCAATATTGCCAGACCAAAAAGCTCGATGAAGGAGTAGACATACCAGCCTCGATATCACGAGCACGTAGTACCTCTCGGGAAACTTTCCATTAAAACCGGCGAGGGCAATGAAGGAGGTGGTTGGATCGCCACGTTGGTAGACGCTGCGGAAGGTGCCATCGCTCCAGCCTCAAGAGCCTTCGTGTCGGCTTCATTCGCGCCTCTCTCCGCCGACATTTGGGCACCAGCAATGCGACTGAGATGAGTCGTGTGACTAGAACGCCATCTTCTTCGTCTAGGTCAACGTTGCCGTTTCGACGTTCCTCAAGAGTGTGATGTGCAAAGTTGAAGATCCCATCCCCATCGCAGGCATAAGCGAAGACGAGCAAAGGTTTCAGTCAGCGACCGACCGATCTAAGCGCCCTCCGATCAGGCACCAAGAGTGCCGACTCACCCGAGTAGGAGATCGGATGCAGCTGTGCGTCGCCGCTAAATGCGCTCGGGAAAAGGGGACGTTGTACCATTCTCGATACCCGTATTTCGAACTGCCTTTAGAGAAATCTGGCTCGAACGAACCATATGGGAGTCCTCCAGTGTACTCATCGCGGAACCACATGTAGAAGGCGACCGCGCCGACATTGCAAATACGAGGGTCGAAATGACGGGCAACGGGCTTGTAGTCGAGACGACCTTCCTTGTTCGTCTTGCCCGAATCGGCCACGATATAGAGCGTCTTGATCGGCGGGTGATCCGGTCGTTCGAGCGCTCGCATTGACAAATCCGAGAAGGCGAGAGCACGAGTGTTGTCGCCGCGGAATAGCGTGGCGAGCGAGACTGCCACATGGCGCGGTTGCGAAGCGACCGGGTCACCGAGTGTACGGCAGTCAGCTTACCGGTCGGCCCCTGGCAAAGAAGGTGTTCACTAATTTGTAGTTGTTCTTCTTTGGTGACATTGTCGGATGCCGTTCCTTCGATTTTGTTGGTCTGGGCGGACTTCTTTCGACCGGCCTCGCGTTTCTTCCAGCCGGCCTCGAGATAACCGATCGGGGGAAGATCTCGCAGCTTGCCCCGGCCGGCAACGCTTGTGCGATCAATTGAATCGATTACACGTACTGGAGCACGTCAAAAGCAAGCAACATGTGTTATTCAAGGGAGTAGATTCATTGCGGGTACGAAGGGAAAGGCATGCGAGCTTACATGTTCGAGGGCGTTGAGATGCTATGAACGGTGGGGAAGCCGGCATGGCGCGATCAATAGACGCCCAATTCGCTAGGTGCAGAGGCCAGTCAAAAGCCATAGTTGAGATATAATACTCACATTTTTCAGCACCGAAACACCAATGGTCGTGCCTTCAATGTCCTCGCCTTGATCGACACCCGTACCTGATCTGCGCGCGGGTCGCTTGGACTCGGAGCTCAAAAAATTCAAGACCATATCTGGGTCGATCGGTCGAACGCAAGCGCCGGGCCACGTTTCAGCCATGAATTTGGTGTAAGATTTGAGCGATTTTTCGTATGCGCTGACTGTCTTGGGCGCCAAGTTGGATGTGCTAGTGCAACTGGCGATGATCGCGTTATTCGACGCTTGAACTAGAATCTCGGCCAGAGCCAGACGGCGGGTGGCGAGCAGCAACCGTCAGTAAAAATTCGCGCCAAAGTCCGGTCTGCCCCGAGTCCGAGGACGGATAGGACAAGAGACTCACGTCGTGCAGCAAGCTCCCATGCCCTGCCATTGCCCTCACCCTCGCTGCTTCATGCTCACTCTCGGCGTGCTCGCCTTCGTCCTCTCGACATTCGAATTCGTCGCGGCAATCGGCGTTCGAATCGGTGACAGGGACTGAGTGCGCGGTGCTAGCCGAGCCACGAATGGGGAGGAATTGGGAGTCATTCCTTTCGTCGCGTTGGTCTGAAAATACTGTGAGTCGATTGCGGAATTGGTGGCGTTGGTGGCGAGATCGGTCGAGACGAGAGCTCGTCGGTTCAACCGAGAGCTCGGAATGACGGTCACGTGAGGAAGTTCCAAGCGCACTCAGTGTTGATCAAGAGAGATCGTACAACGGTCGTGCGAGTCGACAGCAAGTAGATAGGCAGTCGAAGTAGGTCAAGGGAGACGTGGCGCCCTCTTCGTTCAGTCGAATACGGGCGAGGAGAGTGGAGATGCGAAACGCAGTGAAGTCAATCAGAGTTCGTTCGCGACCTCATCACGGACAGACGCGTGCACGGTGCCGGCCAAACTCGACAATCAATCCACTCACCAGCGGCAAGGCACTCGGGTTGCGATGGATACACGACTCGAGCAGCTCGAACTGCTGCTTGCAAAGGAGGATGCGAAATCGCCACAAAGGAGTATGCCACCGCCAGCCCAGCCAACGACTCTGAGTGGAATGTGGCCAAAACATTTGAGTAAGGGCCCGGCCTCGCGCGCTGGGCTCGCGCGCTGACCACGCTGACCCACACCGCCCGCATCCGCCTCAGGCACGCCTCAAACAAGGCGGCCCGAGCTCAATATTGGTTTCGAATATTCAGGCTGGCGCTCGCGCGCG